TTTAAAAATTTACCTTATTAAATGTTGATATCTAAATTTAAAAATTAATTATATATTATAATGAAATCACTTTCTAAATTTAAATATTAATATTAAAAAGATAAACTTTTAAATTTTAAATTCAATTTTAATTAGATAAAATGAGATACTTGCTCTAAATTTGAAGTTTTAATTTATTTTAAAAATTAAAACTAATATTCACTTTTTTCTTATTATATTGATTTAATATTACATATCATGTAATTATAAATTTATCATTTTAAGTGATACTATTTTTTTTATTAAACTTTTAAAATTTAAAAGTTATATTAGTCTCAACTAATTTAAAATTAAATTATAATGAATTACATAAAAAAAATTTAATGTCTATTACTCTATTTATTAAATTTAAATTTAAGATTTTATTTAAATAATATTTTCACCCATATGTATGATTTTATTTTATTTAGACTTTATTTAATACAAAAAATGAAATAATCAAATAAGTAAAAAATCACACTCAAATGTTAAATCCCTTGCCATATAATCATGACATGGCAATATTTTGCCATCCAAGCAGCCAAGCATAAACGGCAGTTAAGCCATGCGAGCAAGTCCAAACGGCAGTTAAGTTGGCGTAAGAAGAAGGGCTTAATTGCTTTGATAGCAGAGTTCAAGGGCTTATACGCATCAATTAAAGTTTAGGGGCTTAATAGTGATTCTGGGGTTAGTTCAGGGGCTTAACTTATGGTTTTGCCTAAATATTTTATAGTCTCAACCATAAATATTTAAATTAAGAAAAAATTATAAAGTTATAAATAATAATAAGTTGATTAATAATATTAAACTTAAAATATTTAAATTTCTTAAAATATAAAGTTTTAATTTTACAATCATCTTGAAACATAATCGAGGAGTTAAGCCCATTTTTTAATGATGAAATTGCTTTTCTAAGAATATCTTTCACTAAATTATTATATTTATATCTTAGCATCACATCTTTAATATTTTTAGTTGCATTTTCATTTAATTCATGATTCTTGGTAATTAGATCAAACTAGCGTAATTTCTAGAGAAAGAAGAAGAAATTATGATGAGTAAACACTTAAAATAAGTTCAAAATTATTTGAGTAATGGAAATGAGGTTGAAGATTGTGAACTAATGGAAAGAGTTATCAATATGAAAATTAATTAAGAATAATAAATATAATATTTTTAAAAATAATAATAATAAAATAAAACAAATGGTCAACCTGTCAACCCACGAGTTGATCCTAATCCAACCCATGACCCATACAAATTAATATTACGGATTATCTATCGGTTAAGAGTTGGGATATATAGACCTTAACCCGTCTTTATGGGTTGGATTAGGGTTGGGTTAATGGGTTGGTGGATTTTTGCTAACCCTTCGTGTAAAGATGGTATACTTTGTTAAGACAAATTGACCTTTAACTATAACTCTTATGAACTTTTAGTCCTTGAAATTAATTTTGTTAGAAAGCTAGCTTTTATTTTTCTTAGGCTAGTTAAATGCTAAAATTTTTGGTTGTTCTTTAATTGTTGATCTTTGTACGGTATCAATATGCTTTTTCTATGGTAGTATATCAATCTTGTATGGTATTACTCCCTCTATTCTTATTATCATTGGAATAAAATCTATTTGATCTTCATAGAATCTCAATTATTTTTTTTTCTTTTTATTAATAACATTAATTTGATTAGCTCGAATACAAGATTTTTTGGGGAGTTTTCAAAACCTAACTTAGACTACAAAGTAGTGTACAGATAAATGTTAAATTTTGTAGGTGTCACACCCCAACACCAAGAGTTAAGGTATGACAAATGCCACACACCTATAGGGAAGACTAAATGTGTAAGGCTAGCTAACCTGTAATTAACTCACTTAGATAAATTTCACCTTTAAATCATAGTAATAATAATTTAATCTCAATCTAATAATTTTGATACATAGATCTAACTAAACAAATGAATAGATAAAATATCACTATCTCCAAGTTCATTTAATCCAAAATAATCCTTCATCTCAAGTTGCAAGCTAAAAATCAATCAAATTATTCTAACGGCCTCTCAATCCCCATGTTATCCAATGTTCTCATTCTTCAGTCACCTGAAATGAGATGACAATTTGACACTAACTTAGCAAGTAGTATACCTTTCTACCACAACCAAGCATGCAGTTCTTTAATCTTATTATCTTTTTAAAATAGACAATAAAATCACATTTCATTTCTCAAGACCAAAATATTCAATTTTTGTCCTTTATGGTTTTATAACAATCCAAGATATGCATTCCACAATACACAATTCATAGATCTCAAGTTTATCACAATACCGTCAACTTAACCCTGATAAGGGTTAACCACACATAAAGGACAAAATGCAAACAATTAAAAGCCGTTTCAAAAATGATAATAAATAATAATTTAAAAGTCATTTTCCACATGGCTACAATCTCAACTCAAAACTTTGAATAAAATTAACATGCTTAGCCTACAATTCATCTCATTTATGAATTGGTCTAGATGATGGTAACCCAAGAGGGGGGTTGAATTGGGGTTTTTAAAAACTTACAATTTTTATTTGTAAATCAATGAACAAGCGCATGCAATCACAAATGTATAAATTAAAGTGTGAAAATTAAAAGAGTAAGAGAAGAAAAAGCTCAAACATAATGATTTATAATAGTTTGGTTATAACTTCTGCCTAGTCCACTCCTCAAATCGCTTACTTGAGAGTTTGCTTTGAATTCAAAACCTTTTCTCCAACTTCAGGGAGTAGAGGAAATGGTTTATAATAATTTTGTTGAGGTTATCCACCTTGAACAAAATAACCCCTTGTTACAATCTCTCACAAACCACAACTAACTCGTTATTACAATCTCTCACAAACCAAATCCTCTACCACAAGTATGGTTTTTCTAAATTTAATAAGGCTACCCAACCCCTCTCTCACTTTCTTGATGAAAGAGAATGAGGAGACAATGATTACAAAATGATCAGAATGAAATGCTTAAGCACAAAGAATATGAAAAGTTGTAAATCTTTTTCTCTCAAAGATGAAGGCTCTTCTTTTTATTTCTCTTGACATGCTTCACCTTTAATGATATCTATTTATTCTCCAAAAATGCTCAATCAAGGCTTCTAGCCGTTGCTCTCAATTTGGAAAGAATCAAGTTTGATTTGGAATGTAAAACGTATCTTTCAAACTTTAGTTCCAAACCATTTTCATTAGTTTAAAATTTTTGACTGCTCGTGTTGAATGTTTAAAAAAGTGTTGGACTTTTTTGCTTGGTGTCAAAATTTTCTCATTAAGTCCTACAAGTATTTTCTTTTTTTAAAAGCCTCAAAAGTTCCTACACTTAATCCTTGGTGTTGGAACTTTTTTTAAACATAAAAGAAATTCAAAAATAGTAGCTGAAAAGTAGACCCTTTGGTATAGTTTTGCACTCTTTTTGCACAAAGATGTACTTTGGAAAGCTTTTGAGAAGGAAACTCAACTTCTTTTGGAAACATATTCATTCAATGGTTAGACAATATATTTAATCTTAAAAATATGATTCCAAAATAAAATGCAATTACTTCATTACGAATAAGAAATCTTAAATTGAGTTTCCAAAGATAAAATTTGAACAATTAAATTTCAAACTTTGAAATCAACCCTTTCACATTTATAATTGAATTTTCATCAACATACTTAAAATGAAAAATTTAATTAATTGGGTGAGAAATATGTAAAAAAT